TAATCCTCAGTGCTCCCTCCTCCCCATCCACACCCTGATTCATCACACCAGGCACTTTCCAACTCCAGTGGCTGGTGCTTGTTTTGCATGCTCTACTGGCCTTTGCGGCACAGTCTCCTTCGGCCTGTTCCCCCCTGACTGCCTCATGGACCTATTCACAGGTGCTCCACTGGCTAAGGCCTGGACTTCCACCCTGTTCCCTTTATTACAGCCCTGGAGTGGGGGGGTGCGGGGGGGAGAGGAGCAGGTGTCAGGCCCAGGGTTGGGAGAGAGAAGCTCCAAGTGCAGTGGGTCAGGGCACAGTGTGCGCCTGGAAGAACATCCCCCCCCCCCCCCCCCCCCCCCCCCCCCTGAATCCCTGGGATGTCCTGGACCCGCAGCACACGTCTCCCTCTCCTTAGGCCTGCTGCCTGCCCTTTGTGGAGGGGGGGTGGGGGCGGGGTTTAAGCTGCGATTCACTTTGTACCAGAAAACACTTTGTAGACAATTTTAAAGTCCATTTTAAATGTTGGGCTGCATTTCTACTGAGTGGGGGGGTTTTTTGCTTGTTTTACTTAAACCAACATTTACTCAGAAAGCCTCATGCACCAATGCAAATAATGAGACCATCCAGTCCCACCCCCATTTTATGCATTTTTAATTAAGGCTAAAGACGGACTTTACAATATTGAGCAACAAATATTTGAAGAGACACACTTTTTAGGCACTACTGTCCTTAAGCACTAATAGAAGACACACATTATAGTGGGTTTCTCCCTCCCGGAGACCAATGGGAAGAGTATTTTAATCAAACTGTTTTATGTACTTCCCTGTCTTTCATTATTAATCACTCATCTGCTTTAAGAAGCATCGTTACCTAGCAGAGGACTTTACACTAGCTGGGGAGACACCAGTCATATGAGAACACATTAGCCTATGTGCATTCATTCGTGCATTAATTTCATAATTGTCTGAACTCCACTTACATGTTGTAGAGATGCATAAAGGTTTTAGAGTAGAAATTTTTAGTTTAGCTGGATCAAATTTTGTTTCTTCCCTGTGTGGCAGAGGGCTCCAGTAATGTCAATCTCCCACCTTGATGAGTTTACTAAATAGTTAAGAAAACATGACAAACATGTAAAGCGACATATTAACACAAAGAGGCAGAGATTCTGTCTCAAGGGAGAGACACAGACAAGGAAGGGAGGACACAGCTCAGGAATGTGGCAACCCCGGGGCACAGGCCAGGCACAGGGCCCGCCTGAAGAGGCCTGGGAATCCATTAGCACCAGCAGCCTGGGTAACAGATGCAGTCTCCCAAACAACTTGGGACTGAAGGAAGGTGAGCAAGCATCAAGCTGGTGACACACATCTCCTGACCGCAAACCCGCCCTGTGTCCGCAAGGCTGGCCGTGGACAGGGCACGGATGCCCAGGCACTGTCACAAAGGACTGAGTGAGCCTGCTGTGTCAAGCAGGTGCCCACAACAGGTGTGTGGCAGGTAACTTCAGGGAGATAAGGTGGAGGTTGTAGGACAGTCATGTAACCAGTGGGAAAATCAGGTATGTGTGGCATGGGCAGCTGCACCTGCCCAGCGGACATAAGGACAGTGTGAGAAGACAGGACAGGCCCTAGCTGGTTTGGCTCAGTGGATAGAGCGTTGGCCTGTGGACTGAAGGGTCCCAGGTTCGATTCCAGTCAGGGGCACATGCGCAGGTTGCAGGCACAATCCCCAGAAGGGGGCGTGCAGGAGGCAGCCTATCAATGATTCTCTCTCATCATTGATATTTCTCTCTCTCTCTCTCCCTCTCCCTTTCTCTCTGAAATCAATAAAAATATTTTTTAAAAAATAAAAAGAAGAAGAAGACAGGACAGGGGCGCAGCTGGGCACAGACTGGGAGCACTTCCCCCCAAAGTCCCAGATGTTTCAGAGCCATAGTCCCCAGCCCAGGAGGCCCGCAGAGGCCTGGTGTCCTTGGGAGCCTCCCAGGCCCTCTCTGCTCCCCAGGATAACCCTCCTTATAGAACAGGAAAGGATCCACCTGGACACCCCCCACACCCCGGGCTTAGGAAGGACAGCCCAACACTGCCCTCAGGGACAGAGAAGGAAGACAGAGGAGAGAAGGTACCTTGTGCTCCAGCTGTGGGTGTTTCCCTTGGGTTCTCCAAGATCACAGACACATCCTGGTTCTCTGTCTCCAGGAACCAGGGACCTGGTGGGTGCCTGCTGCCCCGACTGCTCCTGCTACCCCAGGACACAGTGCCACACACACTTCCTCCCAGGACAGCTCAGGAAGACCTTCCCACCTCCACCCCAGGCCATACGGCCCCTCCCATCTCTGAGCCCCTCACCCAGGCCTGCTCTGAGCGGTCACCCAGTCGCCAGAGCACACACCCTCTCCCAGCCAGGCACCCACCACACACTCAGGGCCCACACAGACCCAATGCCCACACACCATGTAGGTCCTTCAGAGCTGCAGGGGGGGAAGCCACCTGTGACTTGGGCCCTTCGCCCACTCCCAGACGTAAGCTGGGTCCTAGCCCTCCCGGTGGCCCCCGCAGGCTGAGCCTACTCCTATCCTGCAGCCCTCGCCCCTCTCAGGGAGCATCTGCTAAATAGAAGTGCACAGAGCTGGAGACCAACCTCAGGGATGGGGGGGTGGTAGGAGATGGTGGTGAGCAAAGCCACACACATCACCATGCTCATCCCGACGCCACCAGGACTGGCCCACTGACATGGAGTCATTCTTTGGCCCACATTGCTCTCCAGACCTTTGCTGCTGTGGATTCCCATGCCAGGCCCCTCCCAGGCCCCATAAATCATGGCCCCAACTGCCCAGCCCCTTCTGGCTCCCTCCCAAGCAGGACCCTCAAGTTTACCTGCAGATCAACAAGCTCTCATCTGTGTCTCCTGACCAAAGAGGGGCAGGAAGCACTGACCATCCCCTCCTGCCCTAGGACCATGAGGGCACCCCAGACCTAAAACCCACCAGAACCTTCCAAAAGCCCACCATCCCAACCCAACGTCTCACACACAAACACACACTGGATCTAGCATTCAAAGGTCTTGCCTCCATGCATGAATACTGAACTGAGGACCTAGCACAAAGGCACACCCGTATGGGTACTGCCTGGGCCACACATGGGCACACTTGGTGCAGTGTGTGTAGAACTTAAGTAAACCCTGATTTTTGGGCTTTTATGTCTCATCCTTGGCTCCTTTACTGGGCAACTCAGGCTGCACTTGGACTTGCTGACCAATGGTGGGTGTCCTAAGTCTGGACCCGAAAAGCCAGAGCAGGGTCTGCTTGGGCTATGGTACCAACCATGTACCAGGCACTGTGGAGACCCAGACAGACCCGGGCCTGGAGGGCACACCATCTTGTGAGGAGATAGAGGTCTAGAAAGGACTTTTGTTCTCTTGATACATGAAAGCACAGCGGTGATCACAGGCAGGCACAAGTGTCACCAGGTACTGACGTCAGGGGAGATATCCCAGGGGCAGGTGCATTGGCACCAGGGTTGGAGGGTCGTGGGCAATCTGGCTTGGAGTCCCATTCTCACACTGCTTCCTCAGTCTCAACTCCTGAAAATGGACTAGAAGAGCTTAGCCAGTGTAGCTCAGTGGTTGAGCGTCAACCTATGAACCAGGAGGTCATGGTTTGATTACTGGTCAGGGCACATCCCAGGTTGCAAGCTTAATCCCCAGTAGGGGGAATACAGGAGACAACCGATTGATAATGCTCTCATCACTGATGTTTCTCTCTCTCTGTCCCTCTCCCATCCTCTCTGAAATAAAAATAGTTTTTTAAAATGGACTAGAATATGCTACTTTTGGAAAATGAGCTTGGAGAGCAGGAGTCCAAAATTCTGGGTGTTTGGTGTAATAACTGGGAGTCTGGCTTATTTGTGTAACTGGGGTCTGAAGGACTGGACGAGGAATTAAAGTATTGGGCAGGGAGTGGACTAGGAAGAGGGAACTGCGTGTGCAAAGGCTCTGTGGTCAGAGGGATAGTGGCAGTAGCAGTCCTGTCAGAGCAATACAGGCCCTGGAGTGCAGACAGCACAAAGGTGGCCAGAGATGTGCCCACTCCTCAGGGCCATGCATTCCCTTGCCTCTGACTTTTAGCAAAGTATGGCACTTGAACCCAGCCCAGCTGGGTGTGGAAGCAGGGTAACCCGCACGGAGCAGGCGTGGAACTGGACGATCCGAGGCCCCCTCCACAGCAGACACAGAGGAAGAGAAAAGAGAAGGGCTGTTACCAACAAGGAGAAACCAAGGGCAAAGCAGCTCTGACATCAGAAGCAAGAGGGCAATCAGAAGAAAGCTTTGCAATCATTGGCTAGAAAGCAAAGCAGCCCGGCTTAGGAAGAAGAGAAAGCCAGAAATGGGCTCCCGTTCCTGGAATTTACTCTCACCTGCACTGTTGGGATCACCTCCTTCCAGAAACCACCCTGATCCCGTTGAAGTCCCACTTTCCCCACCTCAGAACCACCTCTGCGTTGAAACACTCCCTTTCTCAGCAAACTCCTCAGGTACTTGCTTCCTCAGCCCACCAGGGGGCCTCCCAGCCCCAGGCCTCAGCCCAGCGGGACACCCCTGGCTGCCACTTCCCTTCCTATTCTCCCCACGGACACTCCCACAACCTCCGGTTCCTGCTGCCCGGCTCCCCCAGATGAGTGGTCCTACCAGCAGAGACCCACTCTAACACTGAAGGAAAGGGAGGGCAAGTGCAGGAGCCAAGAGAAGGTTCAGGTTCCCACAGGAACAAAGGGACTGAAGTCACAATTTCCCGTGAAAAGCACTGTGATTTATCACGAGGTCACCTGCCCCTGGGGCCAGCCACAGGGAAGTCCAGCACAAGCCATCAGTGGGCTTCCCGGCTTCCCAATGCTGACCTGTCTTTCAAAGAAAAAAATGTGATCTACATTTCTTCAAAACACATTAGGGTTACCACTCCTAAGACATTGACAGACAGCCCCCCCCAACTATTCTAATGTCTAAAAGGCAGACACATATATTGAGATTTTAGAGCCATTTATACAAAAATAGTTAAACTACAATGCTTTTACCCTGAAAATATGACATACAAGTGGACATTTGCTTCTTGTAACTTTCCTAAAAATAACAACGTGGGCCAAGTTTTAGAAGAAAACTATATTCTTTTAAAGAAAATGAAAACATTCTCAATGGAAAAACTTAATTTAAGTCAAATCATATGCGTTGGTCCTGGAGCCCCATCCAGTGCTTTCCTGCAGCAGCGCTCTCCTGCGGGCAGGGCTGGGATTCGCGTGGTTCCTTTCCGAAGCTGAAAGATGGGGGTGGGGGGAGTCCCAAGCCAGGAGCTAGGGACGGGAGCCCCGGGTGGGATTGTGGCTGAAAACACCCACTGGAATCCAAGTGGCCAAATCCCAGTGACCACAGTGGCCAGAGGCAGGGCTCCTTTGCAGGCCCCACACCGTCCTGTGACCCCACCCAAACAAGGCACATACTGGTGGGCAAGCCGCTTATGAGACACACAAATATGTGCGCCCTTAGGCCAAACACCGCCTGCTCCCAGCGCTCTGCAACGGGGTCCCTGGCCCATTCTGAACAGGAAACTGGCTCCATCCAGGTGGTCTGGGAGCCTGCCCCTCCCTGACAGGGTGGGGTGGGGATGGGGTGGGGGGAGGTGGGCAGAGCCTGAAGGAGGGAAGCGCTGGAAAAGGCACAGACGGTGAATAAATAGAAGTAGCTTCGCCGTGGGGCCGGCCCCTCGGACAGCAGCTTGGTGGCAATTGGCAGGGTGGGCGTTGGAGGAGGGGTGGCTGCGCCACCCTGACGCAGAGCTCCGCCCAACCTGGGTCACCCATCCCGCCTGCCCTCATACACACACACACACACACACACACACACACACACACACACACAGGGTCGGGCTCCTGCTCCAGCTCAGAGCTCCGTGACATGCACAGCAGGTGAGGGCAGTGGCCCAGGCCGGAGGCGCCTGAGGTGGCAGCGGCGGCACAGCAGGTGGCCCTCCAGCGGGTAGCAGCGGCGTCCATCCTCCCCGCTCAGCTGAAGCCCGCAGTCCTAGGGAAGAACACAGCCCCACCCCAGGGTGAGTAGACAGGGGGGCCATACTGGCACCTCAGGGTAATGGGGTGAGGGGCAGATTGGCAGGGCTCTGTCAAACTTCCAGCGGACTCTGGCTTTTATTCTTAAGGTGGGGGATCAGGAGCCCAGTGTGGGACACACAGAACTGGGAGCCTCTTGAAGGAGGACACAGTGGAGTCTCAAGAAAGGGCTGGACAGTAAATGGGGGCTTGGGCATAAAAATGAGATTGATCTTCACAAAACAGATTACATCTCCCCAGGAGCACAGAAAACTAGAAAAGAGAAGAGGAAAAAAAAAAGAAAAGAAAAAAATATAAAAAAAGAAAAAATAATAGAAAAGAGAAGAGGGCAAACGGCTTGAGCCACGAAGGCTCCAATATAGAGAAGAGCGAGCCCTGGCCGGTGTGGCTCAGTTGGTTGAGCATCACCCATGCACCGAAAGGTCGCCAGTTCAATTCCAGGCAGGGTGCGTGCCCAGGTTGCAGGCTCAATCCCTAGTCAGGGGTGCATGCAGGAGGCAGCCGATTGATGTTTCTCTCTCACATAGATGTTTCTCTTTCTCCCTTCCTCTCTCTGTAAAATCTATTTATTGTTTTATTTTTAAAATATATTTTTATTGATTTCAGAGAGGAAGAGAGGGAGAGAGAGAAACATCAATGATGAGAGAGAATCACTGATCGGCTGCCTCCTGCATGGCCCACACTGAGGATCAAGCCTGCAACCCGGGCATGTACCCTGACCACGAATGAAACCGTGACCTCCTAGTTCATAGGTTGACACTCTATCACTGAGCCATGCCAGCCGGGCTCTCTAAAATCAATTTAGAAAGAAATAAAAAGAAAAAGAGATTTGAGGTGAAAACAAAAGGGAAGAAAACCAAAAATGAATGGTCCTAAGGGCACTGTGACAAGTCAAGAAGGGACTAGTCAGCATGTAGAGAGCTGCGGAGAGGTCAGGGCAGTGACAACTGAGAAGTGTCTCCTGGATCCTAACACGGGGCGGGGAGGGGGGGCCAGGGGGGGGGTCACTGGTGATCTTGGGAAGGAGAGGTTATCAAATGCCTGGGCCAGTGGCCTTAAGAGATAATGGAAGAGAAAAACTGGTGATATCAAGTAAACAAGTTCAGCTTTAAGTCCTTCATCTTACCATTTTATCTCTGTGCTGTACTTTATAGGCTAATTTTGTTTGTTTAACAAGTTATGTGATTGGTATGTGACCTCTGTAAAAAAAATGGCAGGAAGTGTGAGGGGCAGCCATGGAGGCTGTCAGAGACAGTGGGACACCGGGCGAGACCAAGTGGACTTTTTCCTTCCTTTTGCCTCCTACCTCAAGGAGGCGCCTTTGGTCACTCTCACTGCATCCAGAGCTGAACTCCTGCCTCGAACATTTGACACTTGTTACCCAAAGGCCCTGAGACCAACACCTGCCCTGCCCCACAGAAGTAATGGAGCTGGAGGACTGCGATGGAGTCTCACGTTCCAAACCGCGCATGTTTCAAGTGTCCTCCCTCCCCCCACCCGTCCTGACATAGCCCCCTGATGGGTCCTGCTATTGATTAACACACCAGAGAGGGGAGGAGAAAGGGGGCCTAGAGACCCTAGTTCCCATCTACAGGTCTCACAATCCTGAGGATCTGAGTGTGGACCACCCACAGTTTGGCTTGCTCCTTACCCTAGGGATTGTGCTTAGGGATCCCAAGGGACACCACCGTATCCAGGACCGCAGAGCAGGATGCCGTTACTGTTGAGGGGGATCCATGGCCCCTCTCTGACCATGATCCTCCTTCCCTGTTCCCCACTCAGGATTCCGGTTCCCACTGGACCACCTGCCCCCACCAGGACAACCTGGTTCCAAATGGACCTTTGATGACTGAAGATTTCTCCCTCACACTCCCTCCTGCTCTTCCCGGGGCTCTGAAACCCAACTGCTCCTCCAGGTTTTCTCCTACCTCCTCATTCACTCACTCTTGGCCTCCCCATGTAGCTGCTTTGCCTCCATGCATCTCCCAAACATGGCTGCTCTTTGGCCCATCACGAGCCCCGCTCCTTCCTGGAGCCCTCGGTTCCTCCCCTGGCTTCAGCAGCCATCTGTAGGCCCAGGATGGGGCTGTTGCTTCAGGCCATGATAGGGACAAGGACTGGACTCCCCATCCTACTTTTAATAATGAAAAGCCAGGCAAAATACATGCAAAATGGATTCTCAGACCCTAGGCCACAGGCAAGGCAGGTCGGTGATCTCCGAGAGAAGGGAACTACTCTCCAGGCTGCCCAGAGAGCCCTCTAGTTCCCTTGGCTGAGGACTCCGAAGCCGAGGTGTCTGGTAACCACAGGGCAGAGCACCAGAGAGGAAAGGGCTGTATACGCCATGACTCCCAGATTCCTGTGCCTGTAGTCAGAGGCTTTGAACTCCAGCACATCTACCTGCTGCCTGCACATCTCTATCCAGGTGTCTCCAGCTGCCAAAAATAAGAGCATCTTATCCCCTCCCCCTCTCACCTTCCTGGGGTCCTAATGGACACCTCCCAACCCCGAAACTCCCACATCCAATCACTGACCAATTCCAGTCCTTTCTACTGCCTAACCAACACTCAGCTCAATTTACTTGCCTGAACCCAGGACCACACCCCTGACTCCACCAGCCTCTTCAGAGAAGCCCAGCCCCCTGTCCCTCTTCCTCCCTTCATTCTCTGCATGGTGCTGAGTACGCTTTCTAAAACCCAAAAGCCATCCTGTCACCTTTTTTAAAAAATTTCTTTATTGATTAAGTTATTACATATGTGCTGTCACCCTTTTTGATCATTCTCCATTGCCCAGGGAAGTCCACACTTCTTAGCTCACGTGGCCTTTTGTCCCCAGCTCCTGCCAACTTCTCTAGTGACACAAACAACACACCCATCTTCACACCTAAGCACATTCTGCTTCGACTGCCTGAAAATGCCTTCTCACTGCCTCCTTGGCTCTTATTCACCTTTCAAACCCTCCAGAAATCTTTCCCTCCAAGACCTCCTACCCACTACAAAAACTCTCCTTGTTAGCAATGATGACCTGTAGATACTGCCTGAATACCTGTCTCTCCCATGGGAGTATGAACTATATTCTATGTGATCCACAACACCCTACACACTTTAAATTGTTAGTAAATATTTGATTGAATAGGAAACAGGCTGAGAGAGAACATGTCTTGTGGACAGGGCTCACTGGGGGGCAGGGGGCGGGGGAGACAAGTAGAATGGGTAAGAAACATAAAAGAGGAGGTGGGCTTGCACAACACCTAGAGAGAAGGAAACCTGTGTGAAGGGGAACTGCCCCAGCCTCCAGCCTTCCGGGAGGACCAGGCTCACCTCACAGTGATAACATTCCACGTGGTAGTCTCTATCCATGGACACCACACGGATAGTTGTCTCACAACCCTGGAGGAAGAGATGGGGTTCACACACAATAAGCAAGCTGGGGTTTGAGGTGAATTGTGCACGGGGCACATGCCTACACCGTGTGCTTTGTCATGGTAGATGTGCATTCGTGCCTGTGTGACAATGACTCAGGGCAAGAATGGGCATCAGTAGGTGCACATGAATGGATGTGCACGTGCCAAAAGCATGCACACGTGTCCATGAGAGCCATCACGTGGGTGTGAACGTGCAGGTACATATTCTTTTCAGTTCTTTGGAGTCAGGAGACCACTGCCAGTCCTGCTTCCCCAGCTTGGGACAGAACCAGCATGTGTGGAAGACCCAATGCCTGGGAGAGCTACACTACCCCAGGGTGTCTCCTGCACAGGCTGCCCCATCTCATCTCATCTCATCTGCTCCCCCGCCACCTCTACCTGCAGAGGTAAGAGACCCAGAGGACAGTCCTTCCTTCATCGATGGGCAATGGAGCTGAACACGGCCAAGCAGCAGGGGCCACCATTTCCCTCTAACTCACGCAGGGACACTGCACTCCACACGATGGGCACATACCCATCCCTCGGCCCTGAGGGGCATGGGCAGGAGCATCTGCTCATCCCTCCCACAGGGGCCCAAGAGCTGGGGCGGACACGGGTGGGACCTGCCCCTGCTGGGCCAGGCACCTGATCATCTCCTGGTGGGTGGTTCTTACCTGTGCAGGGAGAATAGGACGAGCACAGGAGGCGCATTTTGGTGCAAAAGCCCTGGAAAATAAAGGAAACCAGAAGTGACCCGCTGAGTGACCACAGGCCAAGGGCACAGGGCAGGCCTGCCCACCGCAGCCCCATGACCTTGCCCAAGCGTCAGTCCCCGGTCCTTATGTGGACACACAGGGTGGGAGCAGCTTCTGCCATGCCTTCTATCTGGCCTTTTATCTGACTCCCCAATACCCCTCCATTCCATCACCTCCTCCAGGATGGCTTCAGGTTCCACTCAGCACTCTCTCTCATGCTTCCGCAAGATCCCTGCCCCCTAACTTCCAGGTATGGGCTGCCCTCTAGCTGAGATGCCTGCAAAAAGCTGGCTCCACGCTGAGTAACAGGACCTATGCCAGGTACCAACCCCAGGCATGGCAGCAACACAGGCCCACAGCACCGAGGGCTGAGCCTGGAGTCACAGCAAGGGAGAATGGATTGGCTGCTCGCATGAGTACCCAACAGGAAGGAAAAAGAATGTGTGGAGATCCCAACCTCCATCTTATATAAAAGAGGCCTGGCCTGGGGACAGACGGATAGAAGCCAGGTGTGGCCGTACGGAGAGTCCTCAGCACTAGGAGAAGGGGAGCATGCAGGCACAGGTGGGAGAGGAAAGACATGGCTGGTGGCTGCACCATCAAGAAATCTGGCAGAGATCTGTACCCTGACCCAACCACAAGGGGAGGCTGGAAGTGAAAAGGTCATGAAGGAAGAACAAGCCCTAGCTGAGTGCTCAGTGGTTAGAGCATCAACCCTCAGACTGAAGGGTCGCAGGTTTGATTCCAGTCAAGGGCAGGTATCTCGGTTGCAGGCTCAATCCTCGGCCCTGGTAGAGGCATGTGCGAGAGGTAACCAATCGATGTCTCTCTCTCTCTCCCTCCCTCCCTCCGTCCCTTCCACTCTCTCTAAAAAAAAATCAACGGAAAAACATCCTCGATTAACAAAACAAACAACAACAAAAAATGGAGAACACAGACAGGCGGGCCAGGAAAATGTTTCCAGGGAAGGCAGAAGAAACATGGGAATCACACCTGCTCCACACGCCGGCTACTCACGTATGATAGTCCCTGACACAGTAGATGTTGTTCTCCACGTCCACAGTGAAGGGCACCCCGTCCAGGCACTCATTGCACACAGAGCACCGGAAGCAGCCTGGGTGATAGGACTTCCCAAGGGCCTGGAGGATCTGGGGGTGGGAGGCACTGAGGGGTCAGTGCAGGTGGAAGGCTCAGCACAGCCCCCGGAATAGGCTCTGGCTCTGAGCCCCTGGCAGGTCTGCAACAGGTGAAAAGGGCGGGGTCCTAAGTTTGCCCAAGACAGAGGAGCTCCAGGGGCTGGGGGAGGTTCTCACCATCTCCATGATGAGGTGTCCACACACGCTACACTTGTCAGCCGTTTGCTGGAACCCGGAGTACTATCAAGGGACACAGGACCCAGGAGGTTACGTGACAAAGGGGCACTCTGCCCAGCCAGCACCTGCTTCCTGGCCTCAGGTCTCCATGGGAATCAGGAGGGTCCCTGCCCTGCTCCACCCAGGGGCCAGCCAGTGCACAGCTTTGACTCACCAGGAAGTCCTCCTGGCAGTACACTTTCTCGCCCACATTGTAGAACGCCTTCCCACGAAGCCGTCTCCCTGCAAGGACGAGGGTGGAGAAAGGGGTTCCTGGGCCGCTGGAAACCAGGGATGGGGTCCCTGCTGCCATTTCTCAGCCCCTCCTCCAACAGACAAGACGCGGATTATGGACAAATTTTAAGGTTTCCCTTTAATGTGATGTTATCATTATACTAATTAAGTTTATTTTTCAATTACAGTTGGCATGCATTATATTAGCTTCAGGTGATTAGCTTCAGCACAGTGATTGGACATTTATATAACTTACAAAGTGATCACCCCAATAAGTCTAACACCCTCTGACACCACACAGTTATTACAGTATCACCGACTATATTCCCTATGCCGTGCTTTACATCCTCGTGATTATTTTATAACCACCAATATCACTTAATTCTTTCACCTTTCACCCAGCCCCCCAAACTCCCTTCCATCTGGCAACCATCAGTCTGTTCTCTGTGTCTAGGACTGTTTGTTTTGTTTGTTGATTTATTTGTAATATTCCACATACAAGTGAAATCATACGATATTTGTCTTTCTCTGTCAAATTGATTTCACTTAGCATAATACCCTCTAGATCAGTGGTTCCCAAACTTATTTGGCCTACCGCCCCCTTTCCAGAAAAAATATTACTCAGTGCCCCCTGGAAATTATTTTTTTTTTAATTTTAATAGCAATTAAACAGAAAGATATATGTATTAATGTTTCTACCTTTTTCGTAAAATATAGTAAAGAAAGGTGTAAATTAGAAACATTGAAGTTTGAAATTATGAAACTATTTATTGAACTCAGAATAGAAAGGTAATACAAAAAAAGTTAAAACAAATGCACCTGTGGCCATCACCGCCCCCCTAGATCGCTGCAGTGCCCACCAGGGGGCGGTAGCGCCCACTTTGGGAATCACTGCTCTAGATCCACCCATGTTGTTGCAAATGGTAAGACTTCATTCTTTCTATGGTTGAGTAATATTTCATTATATATTATATGCACCACAGCTTTTTTATCCACTTGTGTATTGATGGGCACTTTGGCTGCTTCCGTATTTTGGCTGTAAATAATGTAATAAACACAGGGAAGCATTTATCTTTCCGAATTCATGTTTTTGGATTTCTTTGGATAAAGAACCACAAGTGGAATTGCTAGGTCATATGGTTGTTTTCATGTTTTACTGTTTTCCCCACAGTGGCTGCACCAATTTAGAATCCCAACAGTGCACAAGGGTTCCCCTTTCTCCACATCGTCTCCAACACTTGTTGTTTGTTGATTTATTGATGACAGCCTTTCTGACAGGTGATAGCTCACTGTGGTTTCAACTGGCATTTCCCTGATGATTAGTGCCGCTGAGCATTTTTTCATATAGTAATTAATATTTTTCAGGACACAAAGTTTTAGTTTTTTTGCGGGGGGAAGGGACACCACACTTCTACTCAATTAGGAGAAACCTTTTTATCAGTACACAGGTCTTTTTTTATATATACTCATCATGCCATGAATTCATAGGGAAGGGTTCCAGCAGCTCAGCTCCTTTCCATTGGTTCTCACTGTGCTCTGGGTGGAGCAGGCTGGCGCTTCAGGTGAACCAGGTACCTTTCTCTCTGGCTTCCTTCTTTTTCTGATCACTTTCCCTCACACGTTTCAGGAAGCTATCACGGATCTTGGAGAGCTTAATATGCTCAATACGTACATTCTCTTGGCAAGAATTTTGCCTTTAACTTGTTTGTTCGCAAAAATGCCCACTGCATGCTGGGTGACATTGTAGACTCTTCCAGTTTTGCTATGGTAACATTCGTGGGCATTCCTTTTTGAACAGGGCCCATTCCCTTGATGTCCACAATATCACCTTCTTGTAGGTGCACATGTAGGTGGTCAAAGGAACAACTCCATGTTTCCTAAAAGGCCTAGAGAACCTATAGCAGGTGCCTCTCCTCTTTCCTTTGTGTTAGTCATTTTAGTGAATTATTGGGAGATGGCAGTTCTGACCGAAAAGCTAATTAATATTTTTTAATTAAATAGAACATGTCAACACAACTATTGTAAGAGGTTGTCAAAGTAAATAGTGGAAGAACTTGTTTCAAATGTAAACTGATGTTCTAATTTTTTTTTAATCACATTCATTTCAGTTAAACTGAGAACACTTTTCAGAATGACTTTCCTTATTTCATGAACATCACAAGTACAATTCTCACCAGGTGAAGTAGCCTAATATGAAAGAGGCGTCCTTGTCAAGAGCCCCAGCAGCTATGAGAGGCACCCCATGAGACGGGAGACAGCCCAGGCCTAACTGGGGACAAGAGGGCTCCTCCGGCACCAGGACGGCACCCATGAAAGCGCACAGCCGACAGCAGACATGAGGTGATACAGTAAACGCACTAGCCCTCCACGGTGCAGTAAGACATGTAAATAAACTTAAAAATTGGGAAGAAAAAGTAAGGCTATTTTTAAACACAGATGATATTATGTTATGTAGAAATTCATAAGGAATCTACAAAAAAAAAATCTCCCTAGAACTAATATGTGAGTTTATCAAGGTTGTAGGATAGGTGGTCAGCATGTGAAAACCAAATATATTTTTATATTCTAGCAACAAATGATTGGAAATGAACATAATTTTTTAAATTACACTTATAACAGTATCCAAAAAAATCCATAAATACTAAAGGATAAATTTAATGAAAGACATGTCTGACCTTACTCTGAAAAACTAAACTTTGCTGAGAGAAACTGTAAAAGACCTACATAAACAGAGAGGTATGCCACTGCTGGAAGGCGGCGCTCCACTGGGTCGCTCGCATTTCTGCACATCTTACAAACAGAGCTTCAGATTTCATTCTGGATTACCTTTTCCTTCTTTTTTGTTTTCTGTTAATCCTCACCTGAGGATATTTTTCCCATTGATTTTCACAGAGCATGGAAGGGCCCTAACTGGTTTGGCTCAGTGAATAGAGTGTAGGCCTGCAGACTGAAAGGTCCCTGGTTCAATTCCCAGTCAAGGGCACATGCCTGGTTGCAGGCTCGATCCCCAGTAGGGGGTGTGCAGGAGGCAGCCAATCAATGATTCTTTCTCAGTATTGATTTTTCTATCTCTGTCTTCCTCTCTGAAATCAATTAAAAAAAATTTTTTTTAATATATTTTATTGATTTTTATAGAGATGAAGGGAGAGGGATAGAGAATTAGAAACATCGATGAGAGAGAATCATCAATCAGCTGCCTCCAGCACACCCCCTACTGGGGATGTGCCCGCAACCAAGGTACATGCCCTTGACTGAAATCGAACCCGGACCCTTCAGTCCGCAGGCCGACGCTCTAGCCACGGCTAGGGCTAAAAAATTTTTTAATGACACAAAAATATACACAGCAAACAACCCCAGTATAATAAACAGAGTGTGGAAAAAATAAAAATAAAAATAAAATAAATAAAAAATAAATAAACGGAGTGTGGAAGGGAAGAATAGAGGAAGGGAGGGAGGGAGGCAGGCAGACACATCAATTGGTTGCCTCCTGAACATACCCCAACCAAGGCTGGGGATCGAACCTGCAACCCAGGTATGTGCCCTTGACCGGGAATGGAACCCGAGACCCTTCGGTGTGAGGGCCACCGCTCTAACCACTTAGCGACACCAGCCAGGGCAGGGATTATCTTTCCAAGGACATCTGTGGAGCAAGCTGTTTAGAAGACAGAGGTAGCATCTCCCTCTGAAGCAGAGGGCAGGTTTGTTCGCTGTCCAGAGTAATAAAGATGCGTTCCTCCAGGACAAGGGGCAGATAGCTTTGCTGGCAGCCCATTATAAAATACTGGGGTTCCCTAAGCTCAGGGTTCCTCGGACCTGACTCAGACCCACTGCATGCGCAGCATCCATCAAGGCCACTCCATGTGACCCCTGTGGGACTCAGGAGGGCAAATATGATGTGAATGTTAGTGACGTGCGTGCAGCTTGCGGTGCTGAGAGTCTGCCCAGGCAGCTCATGTCTTCAGTCAGCATCCGTGAACCGGTGGCAGGCTGACTGGTCAGCTTGCAAGTAGGAAAAAATCTCACTCGGACCCTGCACAGCTCCTGACAACCATCTTCATGGCTTCAAATGCTGATATCAGCTCTCCCCAAATTGATCTATACATTCAAATGCTTTTCTTTCAATAGCTAAAATTTATTTAAAACCAGTAAAATACATATTAAGACAAAACCTCAAGAAACAAAACCTTAGAATTTATACAAAAAATAAACACTAGCCCTAACCAGTTTGGCTCAGTGGATAAAGGGTCGGCCTGCGGACTGAAGGGTCCCAGGTTCGATTCTGGTCAAGGGCATGTACCTTGGTTGCGGGCACATCCCCAGTAGGGGACGTGCAGGAGGCACCTGATCGATGTTTCTCATCGATGTTTCTAGCTCTCTATCCCTCTCCCTTCCTCTCTGTAAAAAATCAATAAAATATATTTTTAAAAATAACAAAAATATAAACACTAGTTTGATAAAATATAGAAAAATAAATTATTATGCAACTTAGGATTTGAAATCATTTAACTGAAAATGGATATGCGTCTTTTGTTTCTCAATTTTGCCCAAACAAAATGTCAGCACTCATTTTTGTGTGTGTGGAAACTGACCTGCCAATTTTGAAATTTATATAAAAATATAAAGAACATCGAATAGCCAAAATAATCTTGAAAAAAAGACTGACAGCGGGAAGACTTATACTACTTCCTATTTTAAGACTTACAGTAATCAAAGACAGTGTAATAATATTGGGATGAGGAGACAAAAAAATCGGTGGAACAGAACAAAGTCCAAAAATAGACCCAGAAATATTTCAACAAACACACAAGTGGGAAAACAAAGTCTTTTCAGCACATAGTACTGCAACAACTGAATATCCATGTGGGGAAAGAACAACATTCAATTTCATACTTCACAACATACACAAAATTAGTATGAAGTGAGTTATCAATCTAAAAATAGAAATGGGAAATCTAAAGCTTCCAGAAGAGAACACTGGAGACTATCTTTATGACTCCAAGGAAGACAAAAAAACAGGTCACAAAAAATAGTAACTATAAAACAAAACAAAAAATGACGCATTGGATTTCATCAAAATGTGAAATTTATCAAAAAATATATCATTAAAAATATTTTTAAAAATCATACTAGGAAAAAATATTCACAAAACATACATGTGAAAAGAACTTGTACTCATAAGATACATATTTTTTTCCTACAACTAAATAATAAATACAAATAACTCCCAATTTAAAAATGGAACAAAAGACTTGAACAGACTTCACCAAAGATGATATAAATCAGTGGTTCTCAACCTTCTGGCCCTTTAAAAACAGTTCCTCATGTTGTGACCCAACCATAAAATTATTTTCGTTGCTACTTCATAACTGTAATGTTGCTACTATTATGAATCGTAATGTAAATATGCAGGATGGTCTTAGGCAACCCCTGTGAAAGGGTCGTTCGACTGCCAAAGGGGTCTCGACCCACAGGTTGAGAACCGCTGATATAAATGGTCAAGCAGCAGACAAAAAGATACTCAACCTCATTAGTCCTCTGTGAAATGCAAATTAAAAACCACAATGAGATACCTCTCCACACCTATTAGACTGGCTTAAATTAGCCCACCAGTGTGGTTCACTGGTTGAGCATCGACCTATGAACCAGGAGGTCATGGTTCAATTTCCGGTCAGAGCATATGCCCGGGTTGTGGGCTTGATCCCCAGTAGGGGGCGTGCAGGAGGCAGCCGATCAATGATTCTCTCTCATCATTGATGTTTCTATCTCTCTCTCCCTCTCAGAAATCAATAAAAATATTTTTTTTTAAAAAAAAGAATGGCTTAAATTTAAAAGACTAAAATACCAATTGTTGTCAAATATGTAGAACAACCCAACTCTCTTATATTTCTAGTAGGAGTATAAAATGGTGCAAGCCCTTTAGAAAACAGTTTGGCAGTTTCTTATGAAGTTAAACATACACTTAGCCTATGACCCAGAAATTCCAGTTCTTGGAATTTACCCAAGAGAAATGAAAACATTTGTCCACAAATGACCTGTACAAGAATGTTCACAGCACAATCTAGTATCTACCCACACTTAAATGGATAAACAAATTGTGGTATATTCATACAATAGACTCCTACTCAGCAATAAAAAGGAGTGAGTTACAACTCCTTTAGTCCATGTAACATGGACAACAACAACAACAAAAGACACGATTACAAAAAAATCAACCACAAAACAGTACATACTACATGACTGCATTTATATGAAGTTCTAGGACAGATGAAACTGATCTATGGTGGTAGAAATCAGAACACTGGTTAGGTGGATATGATGGGAAAGCATACGGTGAAACTACAAAAGTACAAGATAGAAGTTTCTAGGGTGTTTAAAATGTTCTATATCTTTGTTAGGGGTGTGAGTTACATAAATATATACACTTATCCAAAATCTTTTTACTATAGCTCTGAAGCATCGTCCCTCACACCAAGGGATGGCAGGTTCAATCCCTGGTCTGGGTACGTGCAGGAGCTAACCGATCGATGTTTCTCTCACACTGATGTTTCCTTTTATTTAAAAAAAAGATGTTTTTATTGATTTAGAGAGAGAGGAAGAGAGAGGGAGAGAAAAACATCGATCAGCTGCCTCCTGCATACCCGCTACTGGGTATCGAGCCCACAACCAGGGTATCAAACCAGTAACTGCTTGGTGCGTGGGACAACACCCAAACAACTGAGCCTGCCCAACCCCCTCTCTCTAAAATCATTTTTTTTTCATCTTTTTTACTGTATACTTAAGATCTGTTGCTGTACTGTATGTAAATTGTACTCAATTAAAAACAAAGATAAACCTAGAACATCTGTGCTTGAGTAGAAGTGCTCAAAGAATGATAGGGATATGTCAAAGGGCACAGGGGCCAACTGGAAAGGACTTAGTCTGGCCAAGTTTGAGACAATTTGTGCATCAAAAAGAATAATGACTGGCCCTGGCCAGTGTGGCTCAGTTGGTTGGGCATCATCTGTGCATTGAAAGGTTGCCAGTTCAATTTCTGGTCAGGACACATGTCTGGGTTTTGGGCTCGAGCCTCAGTAGGGGGTTGCAGAAGGCAGCTAATCGATGTTTCCCTCTGACATAGATGTTTCCCTCTCCCTCTCCCTTCCTCTCTCTCTAAAAATCAATTTTAAAAATCTTTTTTAAGCCCGGCTGGCGTGGCTCAGTGGTTGAGCATCCACCTACGAACCAGGCAGTCATGGTTCAATTCCCCGTAAGGGCACATGCCCTGGTTTTGGGCATGGCCCCCTAGTAGGGGTCATGCAGGAGGCAGCCGGTCAATGATTCTCTCTCATTATTGATGTTTCTATCTCTCTCTCATTCTCCTTTCCTCCTTGAAATCAATAAAAATATTTTTTTAATCTTTTTTAAAAATGTCTGTATTGCCATACATTGCATGAATAAAAGCCCATGAGTATGTAAGAATACTCACAAAAGAATAAAATACATTTTCTCCCATCTAAGTTTAAAATTTTTCCTTAATAGAAAGGTTTCAGACATTCCCTAGGGAAATGCAACTTCAACACAGACCTCAACGAATTCCCACAGGCATATTCCACAATCAAAAATTATAAAACACATGAGAAAACAAGGTCTCATGACTGAGAATGAGGAGAAACAGTAAACAGTAGAAATAGGACTTCAAAAGACATCAGATACTGGGACTATTAGATGCAGAATACAGAATAGGTATGTTTAATATGCTCACAAAATAAAAACAGATGTCTAAAACATGAGACTACAAAGATTTCTCAGGGAGGGCATTAAAAGCAGTAACTATAAACAAAGAATATTGGATTTTATTAAGAATTTCTTTTCATCAGAAGACTTCATTTAGAAAGTAATAAAAGCAAGAATAGGTTAGGGAAAGAATTTATAACACATATATCCAACAAAGATCTTTTATCCAGGACATTTAAAGAACTCCTACAGCCCTAACTGGTTTGGCTCAGTGTATAGAGCGTCAGCCTGCGAACTCAAGGGTCCCAGGTTCGATTCCGGTCAAGGTCATGTACCTTGGTTGCGGGCACATCCCCAGTAGGGAGTGTGCAGGAGGCAGCTGATCGATGTTTCTCTCTCATCGATGTTTCTAAATCTCTATCCCTCTCCCTTCCTCTCTGTAAAAAATCAATAAAATATATTTTTTTTAAAAAAGAACTCCTACAATAATGGAAAGGTAAGTGTTTGTCTGCTATGGTAAAAACAGCTTCTCAGAATGATTTGACGTAACACTGTGCCTATATTATACTTTAATAAAATATTAAAATGTTTCGTGTAAATAAATGAAAGATGTCTGCTTCTGGGCAAAGCTTAAAAGGACTGTAGAATATCAAGAGTGCAGATTTATTATGCTGGTTGGGTTATAGTTACTTTTCTCTTTTTATAACTTTCTCTAGATTAAATTACATTTATAGTTTATACTGTGTGCAAAATTCAGATAAAAAAGCAATTGCATGGAAAAGAAATATTAGCCCTATATAATGGCAGAAGGCACGGTGTCCAGGCAGCCAGGAGATTTCAGTACCCTGCAGAGGATGAAGGGTCCAACGCCCAGGGCCAGAGGGGCAGCCTTTCCCTGTGGCTAGCAAATGGCTCCTCTCTGGCCCCACACCTCTCTCCAGGGGGCCAGCAGATCTTCCCAGGGCTTAAGTCTCTCAAGCAGGCCAGGCCCAGAGAGAAAGGGGCCATAACTCAGCCTCCTCCACACTTCAGCCTGGGTCAGAGCTGGTGGTCCATCTGCCTGGGACTTAGGTGCAAAGCAGTCCATGGTGCAAGAAGGGCCAGAAAGAGGTTACCTACCACAGGAGTCACAGATGAAGCAATCGGTGTGATACAGGCTCCCCATTGCCTGGCATGCTTGTCTTGCTCCGTAGATACCAAGCCCACATTTGATGCAAATGCCTACGGGAGGAGAGGCAGAAAAGAGCAGTGGTTAGCACCACGACCATGGTGTTAGATAAACATGCATCCAATTCCCAGTCCTAGTGCTGCCCACCCGCCTGATCTTGGGCAAGTGAACTTCTCTAGACCTCCATCACACAGTTACTAATGGCTCACATGGGGCAGTTAGGGTCCCACTGCTTAGGGTTTGTTGCTGTTGTTGTTTAGCAGAGCACCTGGCACAGAGCCATCCTCGCCATCAAAATCATCATGACCTCTGCATACCTACAAGGTCATTCTGAACCCCTTCCCCCATGAGCTGCTCTTGGACATGGGGAAAATCCTTTCTTCAGTCTATGAACCAAAAAGAATGAACACCACACGGCACAACCAGGGCAGAGTCGCTGACCCTCCCCAGCCACACTGTCCTCATCGGTACCATAAAGTTCATTCATTCTCTTGTTCAGTCAGCACATCAACAGCAATGCCTGCCACATGCCCTGCACATTGAGGTGCCAGAGACTCTGCAATGCACCAATCAAGTCCCCACCCTCAAGGAGCCTGTATTCCAGTGGAGGAAGACAGACAACACATAAATAGTATCTTAGGAGGAAGCAGCAAGTGCTGTGAAAAAAAAATACTGATGAAAAATATGTCTGAGTGTGTGATTTTTAAGTAGGACAGTCAGAAAAGGCTCTGATGCCCTGGTCAATTTGCTCAGTGGTTAGATTGTCAGCCCTTAGACCGAAGGGTCACAGATTCGATTCCCGGTAAAGGGCACATACCTGGGTTGCAGGTTTGATCCCTGCCCCGCTTGGAGAGTGTGCGGGAGGCAACCAATCAATGTGTCTCTCTCACATTGATGTTTCTCTTTGTTTCCTCCTTCCTGTCCACTCTCTCTAAAAAGCAATGGAAAAAATATCCTCGGGTATCCTCAGGTGAGGATTAAAATAAAATAAAATAAAATAAAATAAAATAAAATAAAGGCTCTGGTGCTAAGGTGATACCTGAGCAGGCATCTGGGACTACCAGGTGGAATCAGAGACCAGCCCTGGCAACACAGGGCAGGATATCCAGCATCAGGAGACGGGTGGTAAAGGGAAGGGTAACCAGCAACGCCAGGGCAAAGCCTGGCACTAGCCCCTGGGACTCCCTGACTGGCCCTCCTGGAGACCCAGACCATATGTGGCCAGCCCACACATCAGAAGTCCCCTTCTGCCCTAGCCCAGTGGTCGGCAAACTGCGGCTCGCGAGCCACATGCGGCTCTTTGGCCCCTTGAGTGTGGCTCTTCCACAAAATCCCACGTGCGGGCGCGCACGTACAGTGCGACTGAAACTTCGTGGCCCATGTGCAGAAGTCGGTATTTTGTGGAAGAACCACACTCAAGGGGCCAAAGAGCCGCATGTGGCTTGCGAGCCGCAATTTGCCAACCACTGCCCTAGCCGGTTTGGCTCAGTGGATGGAGCATCAGCCTGCAGACTAAAGGGTTCCAGGTTCGATTCCGGTCAAGGGCATGTGCCTGGGTTGTGGGCTCGATCCCCAGTAGAGGGTGTGCAGGAGGCAGCCGATCGATGATTTTCTCTCGTTATTGATGTTTCTATCTCTCTTTCCCTCTCCCTTCCTCTCTGAAATCAATAAAGACATTAAAAAAAAAAAAAAAAGAAGTCCCCTTCTCAGAGTTACCCAGGGTGTCCCAGGCCCCAAAGGGCCTGAAGACAGGCTCCACCTGCCCTCTGGACCCGAAGTCTTCTGGCTGCTGTAGGACACGCTGCCCTCATCCTCTCCTTCCTACTCTCTACCAGACCTCTCTCTTTAACATTTACCCATAGTCAAGCCTCTTCCATCTTAAAAACCTCCTCCTCCCCATCAGCCATCCCATTTCCCCCTCCCCTCAGTCAAGAAAGCAAGCAAGCTTAGTCCACACTCAGTCATCTCCTAACTGTGCAAATCCATGACTTCCTGTTCGGATAATACTAGGAGACCTCTCCCCATTGGTTTCCAGGACATGACCTGCACCTGGCTTTCTGGTTCCTCTCCCTTCCTGTTCTGTCTTGGGTCACCCATGACTGCTCTCTCAAACCCAATCAGGAATGTAAAGGTGGCTGGTGGAGGCTGGTGAACGGAGAAAAGAGCCATGGCCGCCAGAAGTCGCAGCCATGCCTTGGATCTGCTAACAGTTACTGGGTGGGAATGCAGGCGCAGCATTGCTAAAGATTCTAATTTTTCAAGAAAAGTCAGATATATAAATTTGTATGTAAAATCTTTCCTTACTGAAATTAATTACTAACTTAAATGTTTTGAAAATGCAGAAGCCAAGCACACCATATCTGCAGGTCTCTCTGGGCAGTCCCAGCCCCTCTCCACACCTCCTGCAGAGGGCTCTGCGCCAGCCAGGAGCTCTCTGCTCAGTCACTGCCCCACCTCCCAGATGGCCCCACACCACTCCAGGTCCAGAGCAAAGGTCCAGGGTCCCCACAAAACTGCCCTTGCTCTGGCCGGTTTGGCTCAGTGTATAGAGCATTGGCCTGTGGACCAAAGGGTCACGGGTTCGATTCCAATCAAGGGCGCATACATCAGCTGCAAGTTCCCCAGCCCCGTTAGGGGCACATGTGGGAAGCAACCGATCTATGTGTCTCTCTCACTTCAATGTTTCGCTCTTCCTCACACACCCTCCTCCCTCTCTTCCATTCTCTCTAGAAATCAATGGAAAAAATATCCTCGGTTATGGATTAAAAAATAATAATAAAACTGCTTCTGCCTCTGGGTTCATGCTCAGGAAATGGCACTTTGGGGTAGCCAGGTTTTAGGGAGCACCCAGGTATGCCGCTCTCTCTCACCTCCAACTCTGAATTTGGGCTCCTCTGTTCCCTAATTTTGACTTCATTCCCTACCCTCACTCCCACTAGCCTGATTCACCATCATCAATTCTCATCCCAATGGTTATTTCAGCCTCCTCATGGTGTCCCAGCCTGGCCTCCAAAACACATCCCCAAAATTGCAGCCAGACTTTCTTTCTAAAATGAAAATGATCCACTCTCACACCTTCACTCTTGTCCATGTACTTTGAAAGTCCGACCTTGTCACTCCTCTAAGTTACTGGACTATGTGAAGAAATAGAAGTCAGCTGCCTGTGGACACAGGACAGAGGATGCGCTATGACCTTGCATCATTAGGTTTTGGGTTCTGTTTGATGTTTTCTTAAATATGTGCCTGCGTCACTTTAATAAAAATAGTCTGAAGGAGGAGAACCAAAGCATGAGGTACCTCAGAAATTCAAGGAGCAGAACATGTCAAGGGGAGTCAACTCCACCTGTGGGTGCAGCAGTGAGGTCCAGACCAACAAGGCCTGGCAAACACCCACTGGAGCTAGGGAGTCAGCTGGGTCAGCCCAGTGAGGGGATATCAGAGGCAGACAAGCAAAGACAATGCCAACCAGACACTCAGATGAGAAGACGAAAGGGCCAGCCGGACTTTGTGGCCATGCAGCTTTGGGGTTTTTGTTTTTAGTGAAAAATCCTTGTCCGTATTTACAGCCAAAAGAAAAGGGCCAGTGGACAAAGGAGAGCTGAAGGTGGAGTTGGAGATGAAAGGACCCTGTCCTCAGATCTGGATGTGTACTCGAGAGCCTGTGGGGAAAGGAACAGGAAGCATTGGGGAAGCAAGCTGCTGACCTCCATTTTCTCAGCAAAGTAGAAAAGGTAGGGCTGGAGGAGAGAGGAAGGTTTCTGAGGGAATAAAAGAGGGGACTGACCAAGGCTTAGGGAGATGGATGGCGCGAAGACCGGACCATCACTCTGTCCCCTGGCAATGCAGCAGGGCAGACAGCGATTAGAGGGGTCAAAGTTCCCAGTGAGATGCAGGCCACAGTCAGAACTGAAGACTGCAGAGGGCGGCAAAAACAGGGTGTGGCTCTGGGAGTGGGTGGCTGAGGAGAAGGCAGAGAGGTCATCTAACTTAAAGAGGTTCCAGAAGGTCCGGCCTCTGTGGTTCAGTGGTTGAGCCTGGACCCAGGAACCAAAAGGTCAACAGTTCGATTCTGGTCAGAGCACATGCCTGGGTTGTGGGGGGCGTGCAGGAAGCAGCTGATCGATGTTGATGTTTCTCTCTCATCGATGTTTCTATCCCTCTCCCTTCCTCTCTCTCTAAAAATCAATAAAAACATTTTTTTTTAAAAAAAAGAGAGAGGCTCCAGAAGCCTGAGGCTGGTGACTGGCTAATGGCAATGGAACTTGTTGAGAGATGGGAAAGTTCCAAAGACATCAATGAATGGCAGAGGGATCAGGAGGTCAGCTGGTGCCAGGGCCAAGGAGAGGAAGGAATGGCACAGCGAGGGGGAAACACACCCTGAGGATAAGGTTTATCAGACATCACTTGAACTTGGGCTCCCTGCAGACTTCCTTGTATAAAAACTTTGTATTATTCAGGTTGAATAACATAAAATTGCCACTTTTATAGTTCTAAAATGTCAAATATTAGCAGATAAATTTCAGCAGTTCAAACAAATAGTTGCCCTTTTTTTTCATCCTCAACAGAGAATGTTTTTAATTGATATTTTAGAGAGAGAGGAAGGGGGCAAGAGAGAGAAACATCAATGTGAGAGAGAAACATCGATCAGTTGCCTCCTGAATGTGCCACAACTGGGGATCAACCCAAAACCTAGGTTTGTGCCCTGACCAGGAATTGAACCCAAAACCTTTTAGTGCACAGGACGATGGTCCAACCTAAACTGGCTTCTCTTGAAAAATAAAACCCACACAGACCTATCATCACTCACCTTCCCCTTCCACGTGGCTCCAATGGGCCAGGACTGAGTGGCAGCTCCCTTTAGAAAGGATGGCCCAATACCCCCTATGGTCTTGTGCCTTGGGCCCCTTCACATCTCACATTACCTGCCTGGGTCTAGCCACCTCAGCTTCACACAAGGACTCATGAGTAGCTGCGGAGGCCCACAGAACACACCCCGCTAGTTTCTGCAATGGGCAGGGACAGGAAAATGAAGAGCCTTTTGCAACAAAGCAATGGAAAGTCTTTCTCTTTAGAAGACAGCCCCTGCTTTTGCTCCTGGCACCTGCCAGGCAGGAGAGGCAACATCTTCCTACCTCATCTCCCTGATGCCAGGCCATGCCACAACAGCCACACCAGAAATTCTCACCTATTGCTCCCAGATGAGCCTGAAACCCTTCCACATCTCCCCTCCCAAAGGCAGGCCACACACTCCCTTGATCACCTGACCCCTCCCTCCTGGGCTGCAACCCTGGGGAGTGGAGTGGAACAATCCACATCCTTACTGGCCTTGCCTCCTCTTGCCCACATTCTTCCCTCTGCCTGAAATGCCCCCATTTGACCTATCACATAGAGCTTCCTCCTCCCTCAAGACCCAGTTCAGGGCGTCCTGAGCTGCTAGCTAGAATGAATGCATGACACCCCAGGACAAGCCTCCGTCCCTGGCAGGATAACCAGCAGCCAGCAACCCCTAGAGCTGGGGGCCTCGGCTTTCCTGCTTATCAGTGAGGGAGGGAAGGAAGCCCTCTCCCGGGCCTCTTCTCGGAACCTCAAGCCTACGAGTCCTAAGCACCGTCCAAAGAACTAACCGGGATCTGTGAGGGCCTGGGTTAGACTGGGAAAGGCTGTCAGACACCGGTGAGCTTTGCAAAAGCTGTCAAGAAGGATTCTGTTTGGAAACATCCCGTGTACAAAGCACAGCCCAGAGAGAGGACAGCCTAGTCTGACTGGCTTGGTCCCCTCTTCCTCAAGGTGGACTCCCTCCCTCCCACACTCTACCTCCAACAGCGACCGTCATC